AACATTTACATTGATGTTATGGACTGCACATTTTCTAAAGATGCAACATTTTCTATCTGAAGTTTGAATATTACACATGAATGAATGTATGCATCAAAGTATGTGTGGTAGATTCATCATAAACTTTGTGAAATAAATACCTTGAACATGTACTTACATATGTGTATCTTCTTATTGACATAAAATAAAAAAAAAATATTAATTGTAGCGCATGCAATCATTAATATATTAATCTAAGTAAATTTTATATTTAAACAAACATACTGGTTCATTAGTTGATTTTTTCTCCATCATTATTGGTGATTGCATTTCAGATAGAGTATCTGCTTGATCATTTGATAAAATCTGAAAATGATAAATATTCAATATATTTGATTATGTGATTTGCAGGAACAAATATCTAATTAATATACTAACTATAATATGTTAGTGTCTTGCAATTAATTAATTAGTGATTCATTTTTCATGATGCACCAATAATTAGTTATTTCTTTATTTTAATGTCAATCTTAATGTTAGTTTAATTTTTTTAAACTATTTAAATTAGAAATTTTTTATTAGTTACAAAAAGAACAAAACCTTTGGAAATACTGTAGGAACTGATGTTTTTTTGAGCAACATTTTAGAACCTACTTTGTAAAAGCATTCTTGTAAAAAATGCCTGCTGCAGATGAAGATATTTTTTCTACTACAAAAATTTGTAGTATGATTTTTTACATTCCCTTCCCATTGTATTCTTTGACTGTCATCTTTTGGTAGTCTGGTTTGGTTTTATTATTGTAAAAAAAGCTTAACTATTTTATGTTAAAATTTTACTATTATTATATTAATTATACATACCTATGTAAAGTTACGCCGATATCTTTATAAGACCCATGACATTTGGATATTGAGCACATGGTTATGGGCATGGTTAAGATATTTAGCAATATGGTATGTTACTGTTGGCATTTGGCTGATGATAGGTCGAAGGGGATTGTTGTTTTTGTGCGTTTTGATGCTGGCATAGAGGTATCCAAGTGAGTATTTACCTTGGAGTAGTTGGATTTTTTTCTTGAGGTGTGTTTTTGTTGATTTTCTTTATTACGTTTAAAGAAACTATATAAACCAAACCTGCACTGAGATGATTTGTGAAAAATTAAAATAAGGCTTTATCTGCATGCGCGTCAACAACCTTCGTATGCTGGTGTTACGACTACTTCACTATTCACAATCAAGACGTTTCACAATGCACACACAAAGAGGAGCCATCAAATTTCACATTTAACACATGCAACTCCAATAACCCGCCAAAATCTTGACAACAACACAAAAATAATTTATCCAAACACCAACATAATACATCTAAAAATTGCAAAAGCTATCCTATTAGATATCAATAAACCACAAATAAACATTCTACAAAGAGTGATTACATCATTACCAACTAGACGCCTTAATATTATCTTCAATAAAAATCGAAAAGACAAACTTTAAATTGATTAATGTCGACAATTTGGTATAATTCATGTAATACTGTATAAAATATGGTTTCCTTTTAACATATATATTTTTATTATATTAATATTATTATTATTATTATTATTATTATTGAAAAATTTATATTCTAGCGTCCTTTAAAACTTTTCAAAAAAGCTACTGAAATCATGTGGTTTAATTCATAAAAAGATGAGTTTTTAGTTCTTTACGGAATTGTTGAAGAGTTAATCAGACTAACGATGGTAGCAGGTTAAATTGTTCAAAACTATTGGATCAGCGATGAAAGAATTCCTGTTTCCTACAACCAATTGTGTTTTTGGTAACGATAGAAGACAATCTAAAAGTAGCTGAAGACGTAGAGCAGGTGTAAACCTATGCAAACACTTGTCAGACAGGTAATTCGGACTGAGACTATTCAAACATTTGAATACTATGATGGAAATTTCGATTCTTTGCCTGTGCAGGCTCAATATACTATGACTTACATGGTCAACTTTAATATATTAGTAACTATTTTAGCTGCTTGATTTTGAATTGACTGTAGTTGTCGTATGATTTCGTTGGTAGTTTCATTGAAAACACTATTACAGTAATTTAGCTTAGAATGAATAAACGCATGAACAAGACATTTCAATGTATCTTCATCAAGCAAATTTCTGATCTGTCTGAGTCTTCGTAGTTGAAATGAACATTCTTTGTTCAATTTTTTGACATGATGATCCATACATATATTTTGATCAAACGTGATTCCCAAATATTAACAGATGAACAAAACTGGATAACTGATCCAGATATGTCAATAGAGTTGACGCAAATCATTTGCAATTGTTGCCAGGTTCCGACATGCAAATGTTGAGTTTAACTCTTGTTAAACATAAGTCTGCTGTTTATTATCCATTTATTTAAATTTGTAGCACAGCAGACAAATCTGTAAACTAAATTACCAAATGTCACTGTTTTACAACAAATGGGTGCAATAATTTGAACATAGTCAGCAAAAGCATGGTATTTAAATTCAAACTTTTTAATGATATTAAACATATCGGCCGTGTAGACCAAAATCAACGGTGGTCCTAAAACGAAGCTTTGAGGAACTCCAGATGAAATCACCTCGACATCAGACATTGTTCCGTTGAAGAGACTCCGTTGTGTTCTACCAAACAAATACGATTAAAACCACGTCGCAACCACTCCAGAAACAAGAAACACTGATTACCATCAGCATAAGCTGATCGATGCAGCTAGACGCCTTGAGCATCTATGGATGCAAATAGTTCAGATGTCTCGTGAATAAGAGCAGTCTCGGTGGAATGATGTTGTCTGTATCCAGACTGATGGACCGGCATCAAATCGAACTTAACTAAATGATTCAAAAATTGCTTGAAGACAATACGTTTAATAAATAACCTTTAGTAATAGGAGATTGGAAACTAGACGATAATTAGTTTTATCATCTCTTTCAAGAAATGGTTTTTTCAATAACGAAGTCGAAATTATAACAGCATGCTTTAATGGTTTAGAAAAACAACCAGTGCTTAAACACAAATTAATTAAAAATGTTAGGAATGTGATGAATAGATCAACATACAGCTTGAAAATTCTTGTTGGAACAAGGTCGTGTGAAAACGTTTTGTAGTCAAATTAAGAACTATTTTTTTAACATCATCATTTGAGCATAAAGAAAATTTGCAAAACTTTTCAAGATCCGATCTATAATGAGAAAATGTAAGATTAATGGCAGAACTAGTATGTTTTCTAACTTTTTCTATTTTGTCTTTAAAGAATGAAGCAAGTTGTGACAACGTAAAGTTTGTTGATTTAAAAAAGTCATCGGTTGAATGTTTTCCAAATAGTTTGTTGACTGACTCCCATAATATTTTTGGTCAAAACTTATTAGTGTGAATAAGATCCTCTCAATACATCCTCTCAATACAGTTTCTTTTTATCAATAATAAAAGAGCTTTTGAACAGAAGAGCTTCTTCCAAACAATTTTGTCAGCTTCTTTAGTACTGTGTCGACACTCTCTCTCTCTCTCTCTCTCTCTCTTTCCAGTTTAAGACAGAGCCTTTTCATATCACTAAATCATGCGTTTGTTCATTTACGGTTAGACTACTGTAATAGCTTGTTCAATGGATTACCAGAGAGATCTATTGCTTTTCTTCAATCGATACAGAATAGAGCTGCAAAAATAACTGTTGGACGTAAAAAGCATGACCATGTGACACCCATTTTAAGAGACCTACATTGGCTAACAGTGAAAAAAAAATCAACTATAAGATTTATGTGACTATGTATAAGGCTATGAACGGGTTGTTACCAGTATATCTAGTAAATAAAATCTTAAAAAAACAGAGATCAGACTATGCCAACTTACTGGCAGTGACAACTACTCAACTACAAACTGCAACAAGAAATATTGCCGTGTCAGGACCAATTGCCTAGAACAGTCTTCCGCAATTACTCAGAATGCCTGGACTAAAACTTGATGATTTTAAGAGGAACTTAAAAACATATTTATTCTGACATAGAAATACTTTATCGATTTGTACTTTATTGACCTTCACTGATTTCATTTATAATAGAGAGCGCTTTCGAGAAATTTAAATTTTATAATGCGCTTAATAAATTGTTGATAATAATATATATATGCTGGTAGAAGACCGAATTCTTGACTATAGAGATCTAAATCTATCTGCAATAATTTTGATAATATGTTTGGTAATAAAAATAAAGCTTCAATTTTAAACAGACTCAATCTTGTCGATAAAAATTTACTAAGACAAATTGAAAAATTCGAATACAAGTTGATTAACACTAATAAATCGGTGAAATTTATTATATATATTAAATCAAATATTGTATTTATATAGTGCCAATTATAATTGCTTCTAATCAGCGCTCTCCTTCCTCGTATGAAGCATGTTGAAAGCGAAGCCATCATCGGTGGAGATCACTAGGAGTTACCAAATAGGTAGGACTTTATATATATATAATATATATATATATATTAAAATTAATATTAGATTAATATATATATGTATGTATTTAGATTAATATTAAGCGAGCGAATTTCACTATTTTGCAGCTAAACAACTGTCTTTAGATTTTTATTACTTAATTTAAATGATTTCTAAATATTAACTTCTTGAATTAGTTATAAATTTGCCAAAACAGCAAATGACCAGAAACTTCATGAGCCGTAGTGTCAACGACAATAACTTGCAGACTGCTTTTAAAAAATTTAAACCTGAACAGCGTCTTCTTTACATATTGTTTGACGAATTTAAACTCAAGAGTGTCCTCCGTTTCACAGCTGGCCATGCCGAAAATCAGCCAGAAAAGTTAACTACTTAAGCACTTGCTTTTGAGTTGGTTTGTCATTGTGGCGGACCACGATTTACAATTCGTATTAATCCAGTTGCAAAATTTAATGCAAACTTTTCGAAAAAGTACCTGTTAGAAGTTATCACAACGATCAAACACTGCCGTGGTTGACCTATATCAATAATCTGTGACAACAGCCTATTAAATCAGCGAATGTACAAGAACCTGGGTGTTTCAGGTATTGCTCAAGTGCCAGACGACACATTGCATATGTATCGTGTTTATGACTTTATCCACATTTTAAAAAATATCAGAAACAACTGGATAACAGAGTCGCAATAGAAGCTTATTTTCCAATTTGGTGGAAAAGAGTACAAAGCTTGCTGGAAAAATTTTATTCATCTGTATAAAATCGACAGCAAAACGCCGTTAAGAATGAAAAAATTGACACACACTGCTGTATTTCTTGAAATTCTGTAAATTCTGGATATCATTGCTAAGGACGATGCACAACGATGGATCTGGCGGGTAAAAAACCGTGTTGAGAACTAGTGATCAATTTGTTTTCTAAAAGAAAAGATAACAATTTTACGTTAATGGTTTTTTCCATTACTCTACAACTTGAGCTGGTGAGAGAAATTGGTCTGTTGTTGCTGTTGTTGACCCTTTTTATGGATAGGAGTAATAACTGCAGTTTTCCATTTAAACTAAACTAAACTTTTATTTGCTCCATAAAATTAAAAATTAATAATAAGAAACAGGTTGATCATGATAGAATTCTTATTTGAATTCATCGAGCATGGCCACCTGGACTGTAAATACAAACTTTTTTTCAATACTATAAAGTTTAGTATAGTGATACATGAATAATTCACAGTATAGGTTTTAGTTGTTATTATTAACAAGAATTTAATTATGTAATCAAAATATGTTAAATGCTAGCTAATAGTTAAATGTTAGCTAATATGTTAAATGTTAGCTAATTGTGCTAGTTGTTAGTAAATCTGGTTTTATGAAATTGTTCAGAAAAATATAAAATTATATAACTAAATTGTTTTAACTAAATCAACGGAAATTAATTCTTAAATATAAAATAAAAATTATTCATTATTAATCGGATCGGTGATCGTGCGATAGGTACCAGTCCAGACTACGTTGCAGTAAGAGATGTACAGTACGCATATGGAGTTATAGAGCATATTTAACGTTCTTCTTGGAACGTAAAAACAAACTTTGTTGGTAACGCCAAGTGCTTTCACCATTTTTCCTGATACGTAATTTACGTGGTTTCGAAAGCTTAATTTTTAGTCAAGGTGGACACCTTAAAATTTAACTGATTTGCTTTTGTTTATTTCTAGTCTATTAATTGTAATCTTCTTTATAGTTCAGATACTGAACCGGCCCAAAAATAATCATTTGAGATTTTTTGTTGTTCAACGTTAATTTGTTGTTTTGAAAACATTTGACCATTTCTTTAATGGCAATATTGGTTTCATTTAAAAGTTCATGAATATTTTCACCTTTACTAAAAATATTAGTGTCATCGGCATAACAAACAAAATCAAAAAACGTCGACGCCTTGGAAAGATTGTTTATAAAGATCACAAACAGTAATGGACCCAATATGCTTCTCTGAGGAACTCCAAAGTTATTTGTTAGTATCGTCGAACTTTTGTTCTGCCATCTAACAAACTGTTTCCTATCGGTCAAGTAGTTACTAAGCCATCTTAGGGGTGTTCCACGGATTCCATAATAATTTAACTTTTCCATCAAAATGCTGTGGTCGATGCAGTCAAAGGCTTTTGACAGATCGATGCAAGTTCCAAAGACAAAGTTTTTATTTTCTGCAGCTACTCCAATTTTACGTATCAATTCCACAATTGCCAACTCTGTTGAATGTTTATCACGGTAGCCAAATTGATAGTCTGAAATGATGTTGTACTTTTGAAAAAAATTGACCATTCTTTTGTACATTAATTTTTCTATAATTTTTGAAAAGGCCGGTAGCAACGCCACAGGTCGATAGTTGGTTATATTGGTATTACCTGTCTGCTTTGCTATTGGAATTATTTTTGCCACTTTGAAACATTGAGGAAATATGCCTGTTGCAAATGAGAAATTTATCAGAAAACTCAAAATTTGAGCTGTTGAGTTGATTGTGGAAACAACAATTTTTGAAGAAATGTCATCAACTCCACTTGAATATTTTGGTTGTAAAGTTTTTGCTGTCTCGACAATTTCTTCAAATGAGGTATCAAGACAAAAAAAAGAAATTTGAAAGTTTATGGTGCATTGTTTGCATCCATTCGGAATATTTCGTAAAATCTTTCATCGAATTTGGAGTTAGGATTTGAAGTGTTTATTAAGTGCATCTTCAGGATTGTCTAAAACCTGTTCATATGAGGTTAGTAACTTTTCAGCATTTTTATCATCTTTACTTTTATTTATTATTTTTAAAATATTTAACCAAATTTTTTGCTGTTATCTTTTGTTTGTTGAAGCAAGTCACTGAAGTATTGTTTTTTTAGCTTATTGTTGAGATTTGAGCAACGTTTGGCAATTGATTTAAATTTCGTGTATCTTGTCACGGTTGGGTTTTCGAAAAATTTTTTATAAAAAGAATTTTCATTTTTGTTTATTACAGAGAAATTTTTTTTAGATTTTTGGACATTTTTCAATAAACAACAGTCATCGAAAAACATCATTTGATAGGCAATAAATTGCTTTTAAATAATAAATCGAAAATGTGACAAAGTGGAACTGCCAGAATTGATGCACACATCTTGAGTATAATATTGGGTATGCCATCTGATGCATTAGCCATAACCAACGGGTCGTGTGTTACAATATTGTCATCGAATCTTAAACTGCTAACCTGGGGTCGCGAAAACATTTTGTTATTAACATACTGGTAAAAACTTCTGACATTAGATTTAGAAAGTAGCTTTTGTTCGTTGATTTTTTTGTAGTGGTTTGCTAAAATGGAACATTTTTGTGACATTGTCAAGTAAAGTTTTTTATCATCTGAGGAAGAACTTAGTTTCTTTTTTTTCCAATAGTGTTGTTTGATTTTATAAAATAAAAGAAGCTGATAAGGAACCGGATATTTACGCGTTGTATTTTTTTGATGAATTTGAGAAATATAGGTTGAAATTAGCTGTTCGAAAATCTCCCAACAAGTAATAACGTTGAAACAATGCTGGAAAATATGATCCCAGTTTATCAGCCTCAAGCAATCGTTTATACCAATGAAGTTTGCTTTGTTAAATTTATAATAGAATATATCACTATAAAAATCTACTTTTGGTAAGTTACAAGTACCGAAGTTGACTTGAAAAGTAAGGCAATTGTGATCAATAGAAGCGAACTGGCAAGAGACTTCCAATTCGGCCTGCAAACCTGTATCATCAGATAAAATCAGATCCAGAATATTGTTTCCTTGTGATGGTCGATCGACGAGCTGGTGAAAACCCAAATTGTTAAAAAGATCAATAAAAGTATGATAGATGGAGTTATTTGGTGTCAAATAATTATTCCAATCGGTTTGAGGAAGGTTAAAATCACCCATCAAGCAGTTTACATTGCCCTTGCTAATCTCTTTGATATATCTAGCGCTATATCTAGCGTGTACTCTTATGCTGCTTGGTCGAAACCACTACTACGATAGTAGATGAAGCGGTAAGTTTTGTTTGAAGTGGAAATGTCGATGGAAACAATCTCGATGTGTGAAAATTGAGACGGTACAAAAACGATCTTGTATGAAACAGTATTTTTGATGATGAAGGCCACACCACTACCGCGTGATCCTCAATCCTTTCGAACAAACAAAACAAAATCCTGGAGGTAAAAATAAATTATCAGGATCATTAGGGGAGAGCCACGTTTCAATAACAGAAAATAAATCTGGGTCGTAAACTGATAAAAATAAGCTGAGATCGTTTTGTCTCTTCTGGATACTACGCACATTCGTTAAGGCCATTCGTATAAGACTTTTATTGTTTGTTTGAACAAAAGGGCTGGTCATTTTTAGAATTGGTGTTGACTCTTTTAAGTCGACGCCTCTCCTATCTCATCAGAGAAGCTTGCTCTGCCTGCCTCTTAGAAAGGCCAGAGATGATGAAAACATTTTTTGTAGCTGGAAATGAACGAAAAATCTTTGACGATGCAATCAGATTTTCAGCTGCTGACAAACTGTTTAGTGTGACGCAGATTCTGGAGTTCCCAATACGGCGAGTTTGTGCAATTTGCGGCTTGACGGTGAGGTGGTTTTCGCATAGAGATGAAACCATATCTCTGTCATTACCCCCCGGCTAAAGCTTCAAACCTGAGCTTTTGTGACCGACGTTCTTCATCTTTTTTCCCCCGTTCCACTGTCCACAAGGCCATAGTCATTGTTTCTAGCATTGGAGATATATTGAGTTTGACCCCCTGCTGTTGACTTTTGGAAACGCTGGCGCCAAGTGTTGACATGGCTGAGTGCAGTTCTTTCATGCAGTCAGTTACGGAGTTTGACATACATCTAACTGCAGATTAAAAATTATTACTTAACGCTTCTAGTCTGATTACGGTGGTTTCAAACAGTTTGCTCATTAGGCTTTCTGAATGAGCCAGTGTTTTGCACAGGTTATTGTTGAATTATTCAATTATATTTTTCAGGTTAAGGTCAGACTTCTCCATTGTTTTTGCCAAATTTTTGTTGGAGATCTCAATGATCATTTCTAAGTTTTCGTTTGATTTATCCATAACTTTATCAATGCATTTTAACAAAATATCATTCGATTTGTCCAGAATGTTTGCTATCAGAACTTCAAAATTCTCAGCCGTTATATTTTTAGACATGACGGAGAAGCAGAAGTTAGGAACAAATTAAAACTTAGAAATTATGTAAGTTTTTTAATTAAATTATGAAGTTAGAACAAAAACAACTTATTTGCGATTAAAATTAATGAGTTTAACTTTAAGCTGAAATAAATACAATTTATTAATTTAGAAAACAGATAATTTAGGAAAACACACGACGTACGAGAAGCTAGCAACGAATTTGTGAATTTATTTGTAATAATTTATCATTTTACTGTGGACATGCCTCGTATTGATGGCTCAGATATGACAAAGAGAAGATATACATTTCCCCAAAAGTATGTCTCAAAAATTCCTCGGGGTGTGTCGAGAATCTATTGTGGCTAAATATCATGGTGGAGGCTTAAACGCCACTGATGGGGTTTTTACATCTGTACGGTTCGCTCGGGGTGTGTTGAGAATCTGCTGTGGCTAAATACTATGGTGGAGACTAATATCTTTGGGAGGATTTGTGCAGTTTTGCATTTTTTTCGAGGTGCGTTAAGAATCTACTGTGGCTAAATACCATGGTGGAAGCTCGTGTACCGCTAAGAAAGAATTAGCCCACCCTATCCTTAATCTTTATATTCTTCTCAAAGTTGTGTCGAATGCCGTCTGTGGGTGGCCTCCATGGTGAAAGCTCAAGCGCCATACCAGGAACTTAAATAGTCAAAACTTTATTGAAGTAGAGTGAATGCACTTGAGTGGGGGTCATTGGTTTGTGGGCTGGCGAACGGTAGGTGGGTTTTCTCTCTTCGTGCTGACGCCAACTTCTGATGCTTCTGGTCTGTGGTGTGTTTTTGAATCTGTTACCCGTCAACTTAAAAAAACTGGAATAAACTATTACAACCTTACCTCTTAAAGTATACATCAGTCAAAGATTACCATTTATTTTCTGGATTGATGGCTTGATATGGTTTGATCGGATTTTTCCGTTTCGGCTGTGTTTGATTTTGAGGATGTAATAATAGGAACTAAATAATTATGAAAAAAAAGAACGAAAAAAAAACAAAAATTAGGGGAAAAAATATTAAAATTACTGGCACATTATGGCATCATCTTGGGAGCTGCAGTGCCGTTAAAATTTTTCATTGAAAAAAAAAGAATTTATTTGTCGCTTTTAAAAAAATATAATTTTATAACATTATTCTTTTTATTATTGTTTATTATTGTTTTTTATGTTGTTGCTATTGTTCAGTTAAAGACGAAAAAACAGAAATAAAATGTACAAAATTTGTTCATGTTGTTTGTGGCAACCTATGTACTTCAGAAATTTTAAATTTTCAAAAGAAGCAACATGAACATTAAGCTGCACTTCAGTGTGCATTCACATTTATTACTATGTTTTTCAGAATATATTGGAAACTTCATTTCATGGCAAATGAACTGAAAGATTTTGTCAAAATATCAAGAATAAGGAGAAATACACTGGTGCAATATTTTGCCAATCATATAAAATTATTTTTCGGTAAACCTGTAAAAAAATTATGGTTTTATTCGATTTTTCGAAAAGTTTCGAAACATAAATTTTTTAAATATTTCTCATAAAAGTAACTTTATAAAAAAAAACTTATGCCATATTTAAAATCAGGTTATCAAATTGTAATAAAATCTGCTCAAAAATATTCTGGCGCTAATATAGCCTTTAATAACCTTCGTTATTCTTGATGAATAAACGCAATTCAGATTTTGTAAATCAGGTTATTTCGTCATTAAGGTAAATAGTTTCAGTTTATTTTAGTTCATCAAAACTTCATTAAATCAACGAAATGAGTAAATTGATAGATATATATTTTTAATATCTAGAATGAAAAAAACTGGACAAATTTATTAGTACATATTATGTGTATATTAGTACATACATAACACGAACAATATGGTATGTGTTTACTCTATAATTTTAAATTACTTTACTGTCTGGATCATGTGGATATATTTAATATGGATAAGGCAATATGGCAGACGCGTTATATATATATATATATATATGTATATATATATATATGTATATATATATATATATATAGGAGAAGGTGGTAATATGGACCACTTTTTTTTCTTGGGCTAAAAAAATATTTAGACAATAGTTATTGGACCCTTAGTCTACCAAACAACTAACAAATATGTATTTTATAATATTTTATGACTAAATTTAGTAAAGAATAAAATTTCGCCTTGATATCATTTTTTTGTTAGCATACCTCGAAAAATGGTTTTTGGAAGTTGGGGTGGTAAAATGAAACAAATGTAGAAATGAACAAAAAAATGTTTTATTTTTAGAACAATCTTTTTTATTCTTACATATAATTATAGTTTTATACTTTTAAACATAACAAATTGTTCTTATCAATGAAATAAAAATTATAAGTAATAAAACACATTTTTATATGAGTTTTTACAAACAAAAGTCACAAATGAAAATATCTTTTTCACATCCACTACATAACACATGAGCCCATTTTAGACATATCACACATTGCACCCAAAGTTCTCCAGATTTTGATGTTTTGAATGTCTCATCACAAAATAAGCAGCCTGCATCATTATTTTCTGGAATTTCCTGTCCAATAAGATCTAATGTGTTAGAGCTCCCGGATAAGATAAGACTTCCGGTATCTTCTTCATCGCTTGAAGTTTCATCTTCATTCTTACTTTTTTCAGAAATTAGACATTGTTTACTTGTTCCTAGATCCACCTGCTTTTTATAGCAGATGGCTGCATTGTGATGTGGTCCTCTTTTTTTCTTCGAAATTGGTTTAGCTGATTTTTTATCATTTGATGATTTCAAGGCAGCCTTATATGGAGAACTGGTTATGATAGTAGCTGATAAGGCTTTTTTACCTTTATCTGTCGTAACCCCCTTTGTAGCGGTCCCAATTTGTTTCTCGGCATGATACTTAAAAAAATATAAAAGGTTGTATTATGGGACAGTCTGTCTCATATTACCACCAATCGCCATTTTAAAAACAAATCTAATAGTTACAATTTACAAAGTATGATTTTAAATAACTATTCAAGAAATTTTGAAGTTTAACATATCTACTAAATGACAAAATAAATAATTATATATCTTATTTACTCATATAGATACAAAAAAAATTAAATCTTACCTATCAAAATTTTGCGTAATTTGCAGAACGCATTTAACCTAACAATAGCGCCAGCTGCTTAGAATGACCATAGACTATTTAATCTTTATAATTAAAACAATTATAGATAGGTCATAACAAATCTTCATGGAAAAAATTGCGGTTTCATATTACAACCCCGTTTCATAATACCACCTTCTTCCCTATATATATATAAATATATATATAGTTCATATATATATATATATATATATATAACATCAAGATCAATCTAACAAATATGTTACATAGAATCGCTATATTTGTTGAAAAGTATATTTAAGTTAAAGTAAACAATCAGTTTTTAACCGGTTGTTCAGCGATTATCGTCCTAGTTTGCTCTATTTGTCAATTTATTGACATTTAATTAAAAAATTTGTCCAAAGTTTAGCAATAAAATACGATAGTAAAACGTTTGATCGTAAAAAATCAATAAAATGTCAATTACTAAAAAAAAAATGTTTAATGTTTACGCGTTTAATTCCATAGAACTAAGAAAAATTATTAGGCAGTTAATAATTATTATGCCATATCCAAATATCCATTATATCCATGGTCTGGATTTCACTAAATACATTTTCCTTTTCTTAATCTTGCCAAGTTTTTGTTGCACATCGCAAAATTTCATTTTATGCATCGTTTTTTAATTTTACCTTTACATTTGAAATATTTTTCTATGATTTTGAAAATCTTAGCTGCAAGTTTATGTTTTCCGGTTTGTTACGTTTTAACTAGTTTGGGAATTGTTCCAAAAACTTTATCAAAATGAATTTATTCAGTGCAAAAGACTGTTACTTTGCAATTATCTTCTTTGTGAAATTTACAAGGAACGACTTTAAATGTAAATGAGACGTGATAAATATGTTTGCAAAACCGTTAACCTTGAATGTCAATATGCCCTTAACATTTCTTTCATTTTGTTTATTGGTTAATCCGGTCCAGACCGAAATTATTTTTAAATTATCGAAATTATATGTAGTTTGTAGGAAATAAATTATAAAGCAGTTTTGAAGCAAGATTTTTTTCTTGAGTCATGGTTCATCAATGGATCTTTTGAAACATTTTTTATGTTTATTTATTGACAAAATGTTATTAGTATTTTACATATGATAAGAAACAGGTAAAACAATTTAATTTATCTGGTATTGTTTATATTAATAAATCATAACCTGATAGTTTTTGCGTTGGGTACAATGTTATATTTTATGAAAAATATTTTTGAAACCTTTAATAAGTTAGGAAAAGTTTAATAAAAATAAACATATAATAACTAAATTTAGTTTAAATGATATAATGTTAAAAAACGAAAATTGAGTAATAATTAACTAATTTCTGCATTAATTACTTAGATAATTTACTGTTAGTAAAACTTGTAAACGCTCCGCTTGCCATACCATTCACCACCACTAACAGCGTCACTTGCAGTGTTGTTGACGGTGGCCTCTAAAGAAACATTACCAGCGTTGCAATTTTGTCCAACTGCATAATGATTGCCGTACTTTGAACCTAACGAGCTGAATGATCCTTTGAATGATTCAGATCCTTCATATTTGTACTCTTTGACATTTTCATTTGGAAATGACAAAAGATCGTTATCAAACTTTTGAAGTCGTCTTGCAATGTAATCATTTAGACAAAAAGATTGTATCTGTAAGTTTGCGCAACGGTCCTTGTCTGTAGAGTATGATGTAAAATTTTATGAATATTTAGCTAGAATTAAGTTGTTGCCTTAAACTTATATATCAGTTCGAAATAAGAATTTAATGCTTTTAAACAGTAGTAGACTGAGCTGGAAAAGCTATCAATAAAACGCCGCGTCACCATCGATCATCGCTGTTGTTACTAATAAGAAATGCAGCGTGGCTACTGGTACTTATTTATGGAGGTGGTATTAATCGTAAACTATATATAAAGGTAAAGTTAATCGCAATTGCAATCGCTCTATTTGAAACTAATTACACTGGAACATAACAATATCAGTACGTTAAAAGAACACGTTAAATTAGACTTCGTTCTGCAACTAACTTTTATTATTTGAACCGTTAAAAATAAAAAACTAAAATGTTTTCGATATATAAATTTATAAACAAAGTTTTCAAAAAAAAATTATCTCATTAAATAAAAAATAAGCTAAAATTTTACTGAATGACTGTATGAGAATTATTCATAAGGAATACATGTAGAAATAGACTTAATTTTAACAAAATTTTTATTTGGTAAATATGTTTTTAGCTAAACTAGCTGACCCGGCCTGCTTTGTAATTTCTTAGAAATAATAAATGTTTAAAAAAGTGTCTCCTACACTCTTTCTAGGCTATACACATTATTTTATAATTATAATCTACTATTTTGCCTACTGCCACATTACCTTAGACATTATTTTTTCCATTTAATTTTTTGATACTTGCACAATATTTTACAATTTTTATATAGCATTCGTACATTAATTTACTAATTTTATTTACACACCATCACATATGACTATGATCTACTTTTCAACTTACTGCTTCAATCAAAGCCGTAGGCGGGATTTTTTTTGGGGGGGGCGCTTTCGGAATGCTTTTTTTAGAATTAAAATCAAGGAAAAAACAAATCCAATCAAATCAGCTTTTATTTACAAATTAGAAAAACTCAACAAAATTATATAAACAAAAGTAAATTGTATTTTATTAATTTATCAAATATATAATTTTAAGCAACGTGCTTTTTGGTTTAAATGGTCCAAAATCATGTCGTTGTCCACCTGGATAGATATATCCCGATGAATAGATAGTAGTGCCAATGAAGTGAGTCGCTCCTCATTAGAGCTATTTCTCAAATAATTTTTAATTCTTTTTTGTGTTGAAAAACTTCTTTCAACTGTTGACGCTGATACTGGTAAAACTGCCATAATTGATAACAGTGCCTGATTATTTGGAAATAGGCTGGAATTGCATTCTGCCATTGCCTCAATGGCTGTTTTTGACCTATTTTTTATTCTCATTTTATATTTTTGTGTCCACAATGACCATTCACCTTTTAATATGTTTTTCAGGAGGTTCTGGGAAGTCATCTTTATAAAATTCGAAACATTCTTCAATATAATTATAGGATACATCACACCTTTCAGGTAAATTAAATTGTAAAGAAGTAATTAAAGTGTCGTGTTGAAGAAATCTATCTTTCAGTAAAGCCACTAAATCACCCTAGAACGAATTGAATATTTAATTCATCACACAGTTCTTTGGCTTGAGTATATATAGTTTTAAATTCTTCAACTCCATTTTCTCTGCAGTTAAAAAGTACATGAGTTACATATTTTACCGCCTGCATTGCAGTTACGATATCCAGATTCACAGTCGGCAATAACTTCGACAAATTGTAGGTAAGTCCAAGAAATTTACTTAAAATACAAACTGCTATAATAAAATTACATTTACCTATTGTGTTTAGCAATAAATTAACCTTTTGAGATTGACCATTAAATTTACTTCCGCAATAATTCCCATAGCGTTCCGAATTTCTTGAATTTTAGAAGAGTCGTTTAGCAAAGGTTTAAACGGTGAGATAAACAATGTGTATAAAAAACTTTCGGAAATTGTTTTCTTATAACAGATTGAACTCCTCAAAGTTCACCTCTCAAGGTAGATATTCAATCATATCCCTGTCCTCTTAAATGTTCCATTTGAAGACTAAATTCACTAAGCTTATCAAAAATTACCGTTGCAAAGCCTTGGCCAGAAACATCATATACTGGAACAAATGAAAAAAAATCTTTTCTTAAAATTGGCATACCATTGTCATCATTACTCACATATCTTACAAACAGGAAAAATTGTTCAATTTGTGAAATATCAGTTGTTTCATCAGCTAAAACTGAAAAAAATTGTTTTTGTTGAACTCTTTCGATAATTTGTTCGTTAGAAGAAGTTTGATTCAAAGTTGTAATTGTTGGTATTCAAATAAACGTTCAATAAAGCTTGTTTTGAAGCAGTTGTGTTCACTTATCAGAAATCTTGAATCCACGGAATAACGATAACTTGACGATCGTTAGATGCTACAACACTGCTGTTGAAAATATAGAGATCTTTGAAATTATAACATTGGTAGTAACGACCGTTAAAAGTTACAACATTGGTGTCTAAAGTAAGATTTTTGATAGATGAAAATTTTCTGCAATAAAGATTGCCGGCACTAGATGAGCTCAATACAACATATCCGAAAAAGGAACTATGATAACAAAACTTCGACTCGAAAGAAGCGAAGTCAGTTTTGATGAACCACCTAAGGGACGCTCTAAGAACAAATTTTTGAAGAACATTACTTAATAAAGTGATTATCAAAAATAACAAAGAAACAGTTACACAAAATCCTGAAGTTCCTGACTTCACATCACCAGCTTATTCTACTACGTGCAATTACATTAGCGTCGCAAGTCTACCCTTTCTACGGATGACTTCAACTGAAAAGCACGTGTTAACTGCAATGCACGTGATATCTGCGACGCATGTGATAACTGCGATGCACGTGACAACTGCGATGCACGTGACAACTGCGACGCACGTGTTAACGAAGAAAAAAGCAGTTATTGTAATGACGAAGATGATGAGAAAAGCGACAAATGAAGGTTTTGAAAATATTGTAAAAATTGCCTACGATAAAGAAATTTTTGATATGTAGTGTGACTATTACTCAGATATTTCAGCCAGCAACTTGCCTGCTTTTTTTTCTAACATCGACAATGGATACAAAGTGGTGACAGATGATGTTTCATGGTTTGAGAAAACCTTTCCAGCACGCACGTGGAATGAAAACTTGGCCCTCGTCTCCCTGGATGATAGTTTTAATGACGGCTTCATTGCCGATAAGATTTGCATTGCTGCATCGCTGATCGCAACAAATATGGCAACATGCACCTGAGCTATTCGTCTAGTAATTCTACACCTAGTAAACTCAATAATAAGATAACACTTGCTTCAAGTGCCAACAAAATTAAGAAAAGACCACGACGGCTATTTATGGCTCAAGAAACCGAAACAGCGGAAACTTGGCATGACCTAAAAAAAATAACGCTAGTTTCAAGAGCAAAAACCTGGTGAGGATATAAAACCTACGGCGTAAAAAAGGCGATGCTTGGCGAAACTTCCAAAAAATAGGAAATATCTGAACAAGGTCATTATCAAGATAAACGACGTGATATACAGGACCTATGATGGTAAAAAACAACAGGCAAAGATGAAGGTTGTTTATATGGACAGGTTAGCCCCCCGTGATCGGGAATAAAGAAATGACGCCTATGTTTGGAACTAACAGGCTAAGGTGATAGCCTGTTAAAAGATGATAAAAGGTCATAACCGCTGCAATGGTCAAATTGCGAAATATTATTTGTTATGTTTCGTTATCGAATATCGTTATTATTTGTTATCTTTGCTACATTTGCTATATAAGGTCATGCATTGCAGAAATTTCTAGAAGAGGTTTGATGCAAAATTGTAATTGTGATTACATGTGATGGTACCTAAATTAGTTTAGTGTTTCTATTACTGTTGACACTCAAATAAATGTTCAACAAAGTTTGCGTATGAAGCGGTCGTTTTCATCTATCGGAAATCTTGAACCTACGGAATAATGATAACCTGACGATCGTTGGAAGCTACAACACCAGTGTTGTAATGACGAAGATGATGAAATTTTATATGTATATGTGTATATATATATATAATGGATTAAGACTGTCAGAAATGCAATTATTGATAATAATCACGAACATGCTGTAAGTCGACTTAAATCTGAAAGTACACCATCTCTCACCATGACCAAAGGTTCATTTCTGTGAACCCCCAATTCGTTTCAGGCTAGACGCGTTTTGTCCTTTATGGGTCTCATCAGTAGCCCGAGGTTAAAAATTTAAACACCATCTTAGTGCAATTGTTATCTTAGTGGACAAAATTCCAAACTAAATATTTTTTTAAAATAATTCTCAGAATCACTTTGTATATACTCTTATATATATATATATATATATATATATATATATATATATATATATATATATATATATATATATATATATATATATATATTGAAGAAATAAGAAAATCACAGAATGTTCGGCATTAGTTAAGTTTCAATTTAACTTTTCGATTTATTTTGCGTTTAAGTGTGTAAATGACTTCAGCATTGTCCCAATGATGTTGCTTCCAGTCCGGGTTTTTTTTAATAAATATTGGATGAAGATTGTCAGAAAAGCAATTATTGATGAAAATCACAGCATGTTTGGCGTTAGTTAACATTCAATTTAAATTTTCGATTTGATTGCGATGACCGACTGAAACATGAACTTAAAACCAAAAAAGAGCTAATAACAAGAACAAAGAACGAATTACGTGCTTGCAAAGCAATTTGGGATAAGGCTGATGTCGACTACAAACATAATCGCACAATAAATCGAAAAGTTAAATTTGAAGTTTCATCAATAATTGCTTTTCTGACAGCCTTAATCTGATATTTATTAAAGAACCACGGACTGGAAGCAACATCGTGGATGACCGTGATGATTGACTGGAACACAAACTTAAAACCAAAAAAGAGATAATAAAAAGAACAAAGAATGAATTACGTGTTTGCAAAGCAATTTGAGACAATGCTGATGTCGACTACAGACTTAAACGCACAACAAATCGAAGAGTTAAATTGGAAGTTAACTAATGCCGAACATGCTCTACTCTAAATTCAAAACTTTTTAAATAATTTTTTTCTATAGCACGGTAATTTGTGAAAATTCTTTTCAAATGACATTTGGTCGACAATATTGTTTTGGCCGTTTAAAGCCATCTTAAGAGCCTCAATTTAATGATTTTTGTTTTCGGTGTCGCTCATTTTGTGAAAGTTGTCGAAACTGGAGGTTCCAGGGAGTAAGGTGCTCGGTGCGACATATTGAATTTAATACTTCACTGTAAAATTAAAACGTTTTTAACAATTTTTTTATAACACGGTAATTTGTGAAAATTCTCTTTTCTAATGTCATTAGGTCGACAATATTGTTTCGGCCGTTTAAAACCTTTGTCAGAGCCTAAATTTAATGATTTTTGTTTTGGGTGTCGCTGATTGTGTGAACGTTGTTGAAACAGAAAGTACCTGGGAATAAGGTGCTCGGCGCGATATATTTCAATGACATTTGAAGAGAGTCTCCTCTACCCCGTATATTGTTATACAGCAAACTATCAATTGGCTGTCGTCCAGTCAATCGGCCAAAGAAGCGCTTCGTAGATCAAGTGAAAAGCGTACTTCAGAAACGTAATATCAACGCAACTGGATTGTTTATTTTTAAAAAACTAACAATTAATATATACTTAGATCGGCCAACATATCATGATTTGTAAAGCTTGCCTAACAAATTTTTTTTTGGAATCGACTAAGCTTTTCACCGGCGTCGACTTATCCGTTACGCAACAATATCAAAAAAACTGACACCAACGGGTTCTCGATGGTACCGTTGTGGTTAACAATATGCTAGGATTTTCGATTAAGAAGTTATCTACGATCCCGTTGAATGCCGAATGTCACTAAAAATCAATGCCACGTTCTTGCTATTTTGGTAGACTAAACAACATACACACAAAACCATATATGTACATACACACACTGTTTACACACATACACTCAGCAAACTCTTGGACAGAACATTAGGTGGCTTGACCACCTATAAACTATAAACGTACATCATGATGAATATATATATATGTATATATTGATCATAATGAATATATATATATATATATATATATAAGAACCATTTATAATATTTATATTTATATGCATTTATAATATTTATAAGTCTTGCGACTGAATGGGTTCTTGAACCTTGTAACAACGCGATGTTGTTACAACGCGATGTTGTTATTACCTATTGGTTGCGATACCTTAATTTGCTTTACTAGG